GCACACTGCATGGGTTGTACTAATCACTGTCAACACACCATCAACTCGTGATACATGTAATACTATCAACACATCATCAACACCTGCAATGTACATTCTAAAATGACAAGATAGGCGTAGACCTATAATGTATGGGCTGAAGGAAGACATCCATTGGTTTGGAGTTACATTTCATTTTTGAAAATGGATTTTTCTGACACAAAAACTGATCTTGTAGCAGTGTAGCCGTTGGTTACCCTCTTGCCTTCTTTCAGAACTTGGACTGTATCATTCAGCTATGGGTGTGCAGGTAATGCAATTATTGTGCTATAAACAACATAACCAAGGACTAGGAGGGGACTTTGTCCCAGGAATGGGCGAAAAAGTCCATGAAAAACTGTTGGAAAAAACATAGGAAAATGTCCTCTATGGCCCCAATTTAACACCAGTGTGACTCTTGCAATGATGAAGTCCCAATTAAATTAATTCCCAAGTAATGACTGCCCTCTGTTGCATGTTATTATCCCCTCAGACTAATGATAGGCTCTATGATGTCATCAGAGGCAATATAGGGCAAGGTTGATCAAGGACCACTAGTTAACTAGTGGTTGGTTCAAGACATGTACTTAGCGCATAAGCAAAGTTGAAGTGCAAATGACCCTAATCAACCGTTGTCAGGTGGCTAGGCCAAAGGGGAGAAAAGGTGGCCGCAGGAAGGGCAAAATAGCAAAAATAAAAGTGAAAATGGTCATTTACTAGTGACATACTGTCTTTTTGACATTTTTCTGTAACTGGTCATCTCTGCACTGTGCTATTAAAAATGGTTTATGGCAACCAACGATGCAACCAACCTCGATAGGCTGGCCACAAATAGTTGACTAGACTAGTCCAACCATTGTCAATTAGCATGCATTTGATCAGAGTTAGTCCAACTATGGTTAACTATAGTCTTTGATTTAACATGCCCGTGGCTGCTGATTTCAGAGATGTACGGAGAGGCAAATTTTTTTCCAACTAAACTGGCAATGTAGGTTAGCCAAAATAATGTTCGGCAAACACTTCACAGTTGAATACCGCTTCTGTTAATTCAAAATGTGTTTTAGAGGTGTTGACAGTGTTTTTTGGCAGTACTGTTTGTGTTGACGGTATGTTGATGGTAATTGGTATGACCGCACATGCTTATTATGCAATAGTATGGGCATTGCAGGCTAGTTTCCTGTTGTGACTTCTAGATTAGCGTTGTAAACAAGTGATGTGAATTGCCCATTACTTTTAAGAATTATCAACTGTGTATGCTTTGTATGTTAATTGAGGCAACTTAAAGTATCTCTTTCAGTGGAAACTTTTTGGTAACTGTTCATACCGCAAATGGAACCAGTCCAAGCTGAAATTGGTATATAATTTTAATTGTTTATGGTTAACCGGTACCTTAACCATAAAACATAAGGTTACAGTGATAATTTGAAAACCCCAAACTTGCTTGGTCAATCTCCCAGTACATGCACATGATCCATAGCTTGAATGAATGTCGACTTGAACCAAGTCAGACTTATGTTGCTCTTCACTGGCCAGCCATCCCTTCACTGTACACAGTTCTCGCATAACTTCTTATAAAGTGCCCTCATTTGATAGCCTTCCAGCGTCAACGTCAAAGATTGTACAACGTGCTGTAGCCTCTGCCTCAAGAAGCACAATAGACTATGCTACACATACATGTACATGTATATGAATGACTGGATAAGTCGGGAGGGCATTTTGTTCAGAGGTACATGTACATGTAACTCAGGTCTTTTTGTTTACATTGACGGAAAAAAACACAAAGCAATGATATTTTGTGGCCGTATTCCTACATATATGAACATTGCTGTTACCATGATACCCCTCATCGGCCAATAAATCACAAGGCAGGAAAAAGCCCCATGTCCTGATCATACCATGACCATGCATTCTTTTAATTATCAAACAATTTATTTACCACCCAATTACATTAATTAGTTTTGGAATGATCTGTATTTTGCATACTTAATGCATAATTGTAGCCGCAATTTGAATATTTCCATGCACATGGTTTCCTATCACCGATTCCCCTGACACTTATCTATGCACCATGAACCAGGCAACTCGCAAACCTTCCCACCGAGTACATTCTTGCTGCACCTTGCCTTTTGACTCCTTGAAACTTTGCCAAAGTGGGCAGGTGAAATAGCCACAGTCGTGCAGAAAATGAATGGATCTGCCTGCCAGACTGCATTCATGAATTACATGGTCTTATTACTTCTCTTTGGAAATTTGCCAAGATGAAAGATCCTCGATCTAATCCAATGGGATGTCCAACAGTCACATTTTTATTTCTCTTAGAATTCACCGATACAATGATAATTTATCATAAACAGATTTGTCGATACGAAAGGCCAGTACATGTGCGGGGTAGGCTAGTTTATTTCATTCTTATTAATTCACCATGGGACATCCTATAATACAGACATATAATGTAGGCTTGCATAAAATAAGTATTGAAGCAGAAAATGGCAAAATGAAAATTCAGGGGAAAATTATGGTAGCATCCTATATTGAGGTTAGATAAGTAAACACAAAACAAAGATTGAAATGAAAAGAAACTATAAGAAGTTGATTTCACTGATACAAATGAATATGATAAAACCTGCACACTTACACTAGTCTCATTCTTACGTCTAAATCATGAAGCAGAAGCTTGCACTTGTTGACATGTGGTGGATTAAAGTTCACTGAGAAATTAATGATATTTATGTATTGTCTGTACCTAAGTGTTACATGTATATGTACATACAAAGAGCTCAGGTTGCTCCTTCTGATGCAAAGCACAACAGAGTTATTAAGAAAATGGCCACCTCGTTGGATATGGTGGCTCATAAATTCAAGCCTTGGATGTTTGGATTGGGACAGCTTATTGGAATATTCAATACTACATGTACATGTTGATTATGTTTTGATTGCGAAAAAGTGATGCTTTATTAATGATTCTTGGTATAAAAAACAACAGCCATCATTCAAATTGTGTAAGATATTAAATCTATAGTTCCATATTGGTACATGTATGTGTGATTCCTGATATTTGGTTGCAATTTTTAGAATTCTGTCACATGTTTGGTTTGTGTTTCTATAGACCCTTGAACAGAATTACCAGAATTTCCAGCATCGTGTGAGCAATTACCATGCTCCACCAATCAGTCCTCCTCGTCATCGTCATCATATGGTACCTACTGATGTAAGACGTTCCAGTGATTCTCCAGATGTATCATCTTGGAGTAAACAAGGTTTGTTCACTCTGCTTACTTATACAATGGCAGACTCAGCCACATAGAAGAAATTCAGTTCTATTTCATGTAAGTTGCTGACATTGTTCTGAATTCCTTTCAGTTTGTACTGACAATGGACCGGTACAAAATCAAGCCATGAAGCCACCTCCATTGGGTGAGGAAACAAGTTCAGCAAGTAATCAACCAGAAGTACTTGGAGCTGTACCATTATCAACGAGAGGGGTGTGGAATCCTGCCAGCTATCAGGGATATTTAACACCATCAGATAAACCAGTTCTTGTTGAAGACCAACAAGATCCAAACCACTCTCCAGTAAAGTAAGCGAAATCTTTTTCACAGTGACAGAATCTCCAGTTGTGTTTTGCCTTCAGGGCATTGCTTTGGATGAGTCCATGCCATACTTTTCACAGGCCAACTCAACCCTGTATAATAAAGTATTTTAATCAGATTTGACCATATTAAAGTGCTGGGAGTAAGTGTTGGAGGGCATAACAGGGATTGAAATTAACCTTTTTTTCCTGGTAGCCAGCAGGACCAGTACTTAAAAATTTTCACTGGTCCTGCTGGTGTCCCATACCAGAACTGCACACGCAGTTGCATTGAGCAATCGTTTGGGCGCAGGCCACGACGAATTGTTTTTCAGTTTGCCTGATTGAGCAGGCCATGCCATAAATTAGCTTGCCCAAATTGGGTCAACACTTGCCCAAGATTCTTGGAATCCATGATTATTATGGTTATGTAACTTGGGCCTACTGCAGTACACGCAGTCTTTTATTAGTCCCCAAAACAGGTGTGCTATGCAACAATGTCTGTGTATCGCGTGGTAAACGTGCATGATGCATCTGGAACAGCGGGTGATAAATCTTGAGCCATGAGCAGAACAACCTCAAATTAAACTCACAAATGCAGAAAATACATGCATAAATAAGAGACCAGTGTTTCAATGAGTAAGAGTTCAGTGAATTAACTTGCAGAAAACCTCTTGCAACAGCGATGTCTTTTCGATCTACAGCCTTAGGGTTGCATCCTGACGTGTGTTGCCAATGTAGAGTGGACATGTGCAGTACATTCAGTACATGTACAGTACAGACTGGTGCTGGTTTCTACATTTCCATCATGCATTCTTTTGCATGGGCATGGCGTGAAAGGAACCAGAGCAGCTTCGTTAAATGCAGTGAGCTTTGCGCACATGATTTCACCACTGCGACAGCAAAACGTAAATGGAAACTCGTAAAAATAACAGGTTTTTTTTAAAATTGAACATGGAAGTAGGAAAACATGTAAAACAAGCATTTCAACGTGAGAAAAGGTTAGTGAAAGCTGTTTTGTGAAGACAGAAAAGACATCAGACATCAACTATCCCACCGGACCACCAGTTTTATTAGATCAGCTGGTCCGCCGACTTTTCTACTGGCCTTGGGCCAGCGGACCACCGTTAATTTTAACCCCTGGCATAAGAAGTCTCAAGTTTTTGGTTATTTGAAATAGGCCAGAAAGAACACACCTGAAAATCAGTTCTAGTAAATGTTGTGAAATTCAATCAAAAATGTGCCGCAGATTGGGGTATTGTGGGTCAACAATTTCTTCCCACCTGGCAGTGTTTGGTTCTGTACAATATTTGCCCCATTAAACTGTGTTGCACCTATTCTTTGCAATTAATTTCGATTTGGCATGTTCTTCATAAAATGGACCAAAATGCAATTCCGCATGTCGCTTTTCAAAATTTCAAAAGAGTGACTTTGATCATGTAAAATGCATATTGGCACCTTCAGATTTATAAAAATGATCATTTGGGGATAATTAGGCATACTGTGTACATTTGGTGGACATTTGGTTGGCTACCAGTGCAAATCAAATGGAGTTGAATTCATTTAAAGTTTTACGTCAAAGTGTTTACACCAGAGGACTTGATTTCAAAACTTCTCTCAACAAGAAGGAGAATTCAGTATATTTTTCAACTGATGTATTTTAAAGCACCTATGAAAGAACTTTAAAAAAAAATAAGCCATGGGAAAAAGAGCACAAAATTGACAGAAAATGATGAGAAAAGTTTGGCTGTCTTCATTCTCTTACTGTTTATAATCACTCTCACTATACCAGCATATCTGCCAGGTCTTATATCTTTCGACCACTGAAAATTATATTCAAGTTTGGCTTCATCAAAAATGTACAATGAGTACAATGTGTTTGTTGCAAACGTCATATTTGATGGAACTTTGATGACGCTTGAGAATTTTGACAAAAACTGCATGACGTTCGAGAATGCCGAAAATGCTGTCACATGGAGTGCTTGAAAATTCCTTGTGCTATGTTCATTTTGCTGTTTATTTTGGAGATATCCCCGCTGAAAATGACATTAAATTAACAACTGTGAGCATTAGATTTTCATCATGAATCATATTTATGTCTCAGACATCTTTTTTTTGAACGTCATTCTGTATGAACGATTTTCTTTCGAGAAACCTTTGTACGAAGAGACAAATCGCGGAGCGTCGCCATTCCGTGGAGGAGAGGGCGCACTATCTGGGTTGATGTCAAAAGTCAAACAGCCCTTGATGCAGCAAGACATTTCTCTAATGTCACCGTGAGATAATGACGGAAGCCGCAAAACCGCCACGATCGGTATTTTGGACTATGGTTTTCGGAAACATACTTGAAGAAAAGGTGATGGGTCCAGTTGTAAAAGAATGATGGTTTGGGGTTTTTTTTGCACTTTTTTTAAAGCTTGTGTTGTACATGTACATCGATTTTGATTTTACTCGCTGTTTTTGCAGACAATTTTTTTGACAGAATCGAATGACATTTGCGACTACCGACTTCAGGACCCAATTAATTGTGAGAGATATTTTTTAATTTTCCTGATTTTGGTTTTAATATGTGTAAATATTATCACCTTTCACCACATATAAATCTGTGTAAAATAACCGCGGGGATTATCATTCCTCGGTAACTTTTATTGGCTAGGATTTCAACAGGTTGTTCACGTCTGTCAAAAATGCTGATGTTCGAGACTTTAATTAATTCACTCTGATTAAGTTGAAAGATGGACTCGGCCATCATTATTCCAGATATAAGCCATGACTCCCTGGGGGGAGTGCTAAGAGGATTTGGCCCCTCCCCCAGAGGTTTCCTTTTTTTTATTTTGAGAAAAGTGAAAATGTTATCTCACTCAGATACCATGGATTATATATTGAATGTGTCACCTCAATTGAACTATCAGTTGAACATAAAGCAACACGTGAAATTCACTTTTGCATTCTTCATCCAGTGTAGCTCACGAAAAGCTTTTTTTTATCTTCACAAAATGGCTCTAAATGAAAGCCTGTAATTTCAATCTATCACTGAATTATCACTGAATAGGAACTGTACTGGTTACCTGCTATGGTTGCC